TTAAGAAGGGTAGTTCCGTAATTAGAGTGAAAAAGTTGTCGTTTAGTATACAGAGTTGCGTGGTTTGTCAGCCGTAGATCATGAAGTTATGATGACATGGATGGTTGAGAATGAAAGTTTGACTGGTGTACGAAATGAGGCAAAGAATGAATGATTGGGCTTTCTCAGGTTTGACCTTTGACCAGGAAAAACAGTTTTAGAGAGAGAGAAAGATAGAGATGGAGAATTTTAAGAGAGATATAGAGAGAGAAAGGGATTGTTTTTAGAGAGAGAAAAAGAGAGAGAGGGAGAGCAATACATTCAGAGAGAAGAATAGGAAGGTGGAGGAGGATTGCGTGTTGTGTCGCAGATTCCTCCTCCATTAGTTGATTTTGGTTTTGTTTTGTTGAAGAAGGGTTTGGATAATTGGATAAGTGTTGTGAGATCCAGAGAGAAGGGAGAATTTAGGGTTACGATTTAATCAAGCATAATGAATGTGATGCGTCGTTTGAAGAGTATCGCCTCTGGTCGTACTTCTGTTTCGGATACCGTAAGTTTCTAATGACTTGATGTGAATTTTATCAGAATTGAAGAATTTCGTGTTATCTTGGCTTTTTTGCTTTTCGATCGATGGAAGCTAATGTTTTCTTTTTGAAATATCATTTGTTCGTGTTGTTCTCTGAATCCAATTGTTGAATCACATTCAACTAATTTTCATGGAAATGATAATGAATGTCTTTCATTTTCGGGAGATCATTGAATCTGGTGGCTTTTCCGTTTCGGTTACTACACGTTTTATCGTTTTGCTTGACTTCGATTACTTAGATGTAAGTTTTTAAAAGATGGAGAAAGTTTCGATTATGCCTTGTTTTTACCTTTTTATTATTGGAAACTAAACGTTTCAAAAATATTTTAGTTCCTTTGGTTTTGATCAATGAAGATAAAAAGGTTTTGAAGATCCATTAGTTTTTATTTTATCCATTTATTCGGGGAAAGTTTAAACAATTTGCTAGATTGATGAAAGCTAAATATTTTCTAGATTTATCTGTTTTCAAGATCCTTTTCCAATAAATTTCGTTTTTTTTTTTTTTTTTTTTTTTTTTTTTTTTTTGATAAAAGCTAAATTTTCTTGATTGTGTTGTTTTTTGATCCATTCATTTTCAGTCATATTGAAGTAGTTTCACGGAAAAAGCTTATTTGTTTATTGTGTTCTTTTGACTCAGTTTGAGCTGTTGTGTGTTCTCGCTGGCTATCAATATAATAGTAATAAAATAGTATCATATTATTAATAATAATCATCAACAACATCATTATTGTTTGATTAGGAGGATGTCAAAATCATTGGGCATATTATTATTATTTCTGAGATACATCATACAGATGCTTTCCTTTATTGAATATACGTATTACTAATATGATCTTATTGATTGAAGTTGATGTTGGTGGTTTTGTAGGGTGGAGATCCTAACTTTAAAAGGGTGAAGGGTGAGTCAGATTTTGGGAGTTTAGAGCAGCCTGGGAGTGCTAGATCTGTAAAGATGTCTGCCAGCGCATCATTTGCTAGACCTGGAAAATCTGACTATGACAAGCTCCCAAAAGAAATAAATGGAATGAAAATTATGGAAGATAATGCTGATGACAAGGTAATAAATACAATCATAATATTCTACTGTTGACTATGACATGTTGATACTCATGAATGGTGATTTGTGAGCAGGATTTCGAGGCGACTCTTGTAAATGGTAATGGTAATGGTACTGAAACAGGTCAAATCATTGTCACTTCAATTGGTGGTCGAAATGGAAAACCAAAACAGGTACCTACCTGATTTACATCTGAATTTAAACAGTATGGCTTATGATATAATTTTATTTTTTGTGATGGTGCGTGCAGACTTTGTCTTACATAGCGGAGAGGGTTGTGGGTACCGGTTCATTTGGTGTGGTCTTTCAAGCCAAATGTCTTGAAACAGGGGAAGCTGTTGCTATAAAGAAAGTGCTACAGGATAAAAGATACAAGAACAGAGAGCTACAAATCATGCGTTTATTGGAACATCCCAACGTTGTTCCACTGAAAAATTGTTTCTATTCAACAACCGACAAAAATGAAGTGTATTTGAATGTTGTATTGGAATATGTACCTGAAACAGTCTACAGGATGTCAAGGCATTATGTTAGGATGAATCAACACATGCCTATGTTGTATGTACAATTGTACACATATCAGGTCAGCTCACTCTCTTACTAATCTCTTCTTTTGATTACCTTAATTAATCTTGTAATCTCATTTTATATATGTCTTTGTTGATCAGATCTGTCGTTCGCTTAACTACATTCATAATGTGATTGGTGTATGCCATCGTGATATTAAGCCACAAAACTTATTGGTAAGAATGGAAACTTGCTTGTTTACATTGATCACCTGTTAAGTTTGTGAATAATAATAATCATATAACCCTTTTGCTTTTTCCAGGTTAATCCACAAACTCATCAGCTGAAACTATGTGATTTCGGGAGTGCAAAAATGTTGGTAAGTTTACAAAGTCTCTTCTCTTGGGTAGTTAGTTTATTACCATGGAATCAGGAATGGATTGGGCAATTCCGTCACCCGTTCCATTCCATTTAATATTATGATGATGATGATGATGATGATGATGATGATGTGAGGTATTGAGATTTTATTGTGGGAATGTAGGTACCTGGTGAACCAAATATTTCATACATTTGCTCAAGATATTACAGGGCTCCAGAATTGATCTTTGGAGCAACAGAATACACCAATGCAATTGACATGTGGTCTGCTGGTTGTGTTTTGGCTGAGCTGCTCCTCGGACAGGTGCCACTTAACAAGTTATTTGATGTTTTTATATCATATTATTATTTCTAATTCACTAAATTCCACTATCACACACTTGTTCTAATACATACAAATAAATCAAAATATGCATTGCAGCCTCTTTTCCCTGGTGAAAGTGGTGTGGATCAGCTGGTAGAGATAATCAAGGTACCAAACATCTCTTCTGTCTAATAAATTTTATATTTGAAACTCATTTTTAACAACCATTTTTTTTTAAAGATTTTGGGAACCCCAACACGTGAGGAAATCAAGTGTATGAATCCTCACTACACCGAGTTCAAATTCCCACAAATCAAGGCTCACCCATGGCATAAGGTTTGTTCATAGATATAATCTTTATACTAAACAATCAATCAAATCATATTAACATTAATACTTGTTTTTATATTTTACAAAAAAATTTACTTTTTTGGGGATGCTTTTTATCAGATATTTTACAAGCGCATGCCATCCGAAGCAGTCGATCTTGTCTCTCGCCTGCTACAATACTCACCAAAGCTGCGTTGTACAGCTGTAAGTCAAATCTAGTTTTGGACTTGGTTGGGACAAAAAGTTACCTAAAGTATTAGAGTATTACTTTTTTGGTCTCTCAGTGTAGCTGTCTTTTTTTTTTTTGGTCCTAAAAGGTTTTATCTTGCAAGTTTGATTTTCTATTTAAAATCAACTTCATTTTACTTGATAAGAACCTTAAATAAGGGTAAAAATTGCAAGAGGATACTTTTTAAGCCCAAATTGTGAAATTTAGTTATACTTAGGGACAAATTAAGGACCAAAATTAGGAGAGCTTTTTGTTATTGAAACCAAAATTACAAAAATCATTTATACTCGAGGACCAAAATTGTAAATTACTCTAAATGTTGAGAAAAACAAGGGATACTTATATGCGTTTTGTTTTGTTTTGTGTACAGTTGGAGGCGTGCACTCACCCGTTCTTTGACAACTTAAGGGATCCGACCACGACTCTACCAAATGGCGATCCTCTCCCTCCCCTTTTTAACTTCACACCACAAGGTACAAAAATACAATATATATTTTTTATTTTTTATTTAAATTTTTACAAATTATACTTACAAATACTTATATATATAAATGTTTGATTTACAGAGCTTGCTCACGCATCACCCGAACTACTTCAACGGTTGATACCCGAACATGCACATGCGAGAAAATAAAAATGTGATAAAAAGGCGTTCCAAAAAAAAATTGGGTTTTTGAATACATACTAATTGCCCATAAAAAAAAACATAGTCATTAATTAATTATACTTTTCTCTTTCTGTCTTTTGCTGCTACACTACAACACAATATCTAATCAAGTTATCGGCCTCGATCAAAGGGTGCAAATGGAGGTCAGGTCAGGTCGGGTCTGGTTTATATAAATATATTTATATATGACTCTTAACAACAACGATATGGTGTAGCTAAAGTTCGATTCATGATGGGTTGGTTGCTTACAACATGAAGAATTTATTTCTAATCAATTTCATTTTTTTATTTCTTAGTTTCATTATCTTATGTTATGTGTGTTCCTTCATCCTTTTGCTCATGCTAATGGTTATATAGTAATTATTCTTGAGACTGCACAAACATGCAAATAAATCTTGTAACATTGGATTTTGTCTTTTTTTTTTCCTTTCTGTTTAAAGTTGCTCTCTTTTGACACGTCACATCCAAATTAATCATTAAATCTCAAACCTACATTTTATTTAATAAGTTATTAATGAATACGAATTAGAGAAGGTCTAAATATACAAGTATCAAATTAATCAAATACGTATGTATATGAGTATATCCAACTCTAAAAAATATCAAACAAGAATATCGGTTTTCAATCGAGTGTAATCATCCATACCTGAATAACGAAAGATGAAAACATAAAAAATTGTAACTTAATTATAGTTTTATGTTATATTTTTTTCAAGTTTCTTTTAAGTTGTAATGTATAGCAAAATAAAAATATAGCTAGTAAATTTGCTTTAGGTCTGAGTCTAAACCTACTTAGGATGAATCAGCATGAATTGATCTCTTTTTAGATGATAAACAAAAAATGTATTCCAACGGTTATTTACACAATTAAGTCAACATTATGTTAAACCAACAATATCCATTAAATCAATCAAATGAATTTTTATAAAAAGATTGCTACAATACAAACTTCATCTTTGCTTACCAATAATCTCCACAAGAACAAACTCCATCTTTAAAATGATGAAACCGATTCGAATCCCTAAGAATTATAACCCGCCCATAAACACTGGATATAAACTTCATGGCAGTATGACAATCACCACAAACCCGCAAATTCTTAAAAATCCTTATCTCCCTTTCATGTGGCAACTCCAAAAGCCCAAAAGCCACAGCCAACTTCTCACTATGATAAGTAAGACCCAATTGTTTACCTTCTTCATCAATATTATGCAATGCAAAATTCATATCCGCAACATAACCCGCTTCTTTAATCGCCATCATAACCTCATCAATCTTTCCATAAATAGCATCCCACTTTTCATGCCTTCTATCTTCCGACATAAATGTATAAACTTTACTATTAATTTCCATCCAACTTTTCCCCGGTTCCTTATTTACCCCTCTAGCTTTCATCAACCTCCGAATCCTTGCGGATTCTTCCCATTTACCCATTGAAGAGTACAAATTAGAAAGCACAATGTACGGGACAGCATCGTGAGGTGCCAATTCAAAAAGGGTATTCGCCGTCTTTTCCGCAAGCTCGAGTTTTCCGTGGACCCTACACCCCGAAAGCAATGCTTTTAAAACCGTTGCATCGGGCTCGATTACCATTTCATTTAAAAGCTTTTCAGCCTCGTCTATCTTCCCGGATCGACTTAGTAGATCGATCATACACGCATAGTGATCCGGTCCGGGGGTAATTTGGTAAATTTTCATCATCGAGTCGAAGTATTCGCGGGCTTGATCCACGAATCCGGCATGACTACATGCGAATAGTATCTCAATGAAAGTTATGAAATCTGGTTTTATTCCATTTTTTATCATTTCATTGTAGAACTTTAAAGATTCGGTTGATTTACCATTTTTAGCATACCCCTTGATTATCGCAGTCCATGTTATCACGTTTTTTGTATTCATTGAATTGAAGACTTTGTTGGCTTCTTCTATGGAACCACAGTCTGTGTAGAATGAAACAAGAGAGTTATCGACTGATAAAGATGAATGAAAACCTGATTTGATGAAATCGGCTTGAACTTGTTGTCCGAAATCAAGAACAGTTAATTCTGCACATGAACTCAAGATGTTGGCTATTACAACTTGATCCGGTTTGATCCCGGAAATTCTCATTTCACAGAATAATTTTAGAGATTCTTCATGGGTATTATTGCAAGCATAGCCAGTCATCAATGAAGTCCATGAGACCACATCCCTTTCAGGCATTTTATCAAACACATTGTGTGCACATTGTAACTCGCCTTGTTTCGCATACATGTCAACAAGAGCATTGCCTATGAGAATGTATCCTTCAAATCCCGTTTTCATAGCCAAACAATGTATGGATTTTGAAGAATTTGAAGTATTGGGGTCGAGTAAGGAAGCAAAACAGTTTAGTACAGATGGATAAGTGAAATCATCGATTTTCATGTTCTTGGTGTGCATTTTCTTGAATAAAAGAAGCGCATCTTGTTTAAAACCTTGCCTTACACAGCCCGAAATCATGGCGTTCAAAGAAACAACATCATCAACCTCCATTGATTCTAATGCGATTCTAGCATTATCAAAACTCCCACATTTTGCATACATGTTTACTAATGCACTTTCTACAAACACATTACCACTAAAACCACCCTTCACAATGCAACCATGGACCTGTAAACCGAATTTAAAAGCCAAGCTATCACCACAAGCGGTTAAAACACTAGGAAAAGTATACTGATTTGCTTCAACTCCTTCAGCTCTCATATCACGAAAACACTCAATAGCTCCTATTTGATCTTGGTTTCGTGAAAATCCAGTGATCATTGCAGTCCATGTGACATGATTCTTTCCATAAGTCATCGATTTGAACAAATATTTAGCTTTAGACATCTGTCTGCATTGTGCATACATGTCAACAAGTCCAGTAACAACAAAAACATTTGCATCAAACTGAGTCTTGATTGCATACCCGTGAACCTGCTCCCCTCTTGATAACAATCGGTATATCGAACACATTCTAAGAACACTCCCTAATGTAAACTGGCTCGGTTTATACCCTAAACATTGCATTTGGGAAAACAGACTCATTGATTCATATTCGTATCCCAAATTACAATAACAGGAAATTAGTGAAGACCATGTAACGGAACTCTTATTTGGAGTATCATGGAATAACTTTTGTGCCTCACTTACCTTCCCAGAATTTCCGTAACCAGCAATCATGGTATTCCAAGTAAACTCATCTTTCTCAGGCATTTCATCGAACAGGTGTCGTGCTTCATTGATTCGACCTGATTTCCAAAGCTCATTTAGCTTCTGATTCCAGTAAACAGGTTCTGTTATGGTTATGCGTGAAGCAGCAGCTTTGTAAAAGCTCCGCGCGGATTCTACACAAACATGTCGATGATACCAAGCTTTGTGTGGAATAAACATGTATATGAGTTTATACTTGAAAATAACAGATGACGCCGCTCCAAATTTAAATCTTTTGGATAAAATTCCCCCGCACAGAAAGAACACAAATCGAAATCTTGAATAGTCAAAGAAGAATTGTTTCGCAAAAACGCTTAAAATCGGTTTGTCAACAAAAAAAAGTTGTTATGTAAATATAAATGGGGATAATCACTTTGAAAAGCAAAGAACTTTGGATTTGTTAATATTTAGTCATTATTTTTTTCTATTTTAACTTATTCCTAAATTATTTGAAATTATTCATATTTTATCTTTATGATCGGTTACAATCGGTCATAGAGGTAAATATGAACAATTTCAAGTAATTAGTAATAAATTAAACACAAAAAAATATTCAATGACTAAATGTAAACAAAATTAAAAATTCGTAAATCCTTTCAAGTTATTATCCTTTTTATATTCATCCCTTAGTTATTTTGTCTATTAGTAGCAATTACGTTGATTAATAATTTTGATTTTAATCATTATTTTGTTTTTTCTTTTTGTGTTTGTAAGAAATATTACATAATAGAATGTACCACACAAAGATGTAGAGTAGTTCATGCATTTAATCCTAATCCATAAGATAAACTTTTAACTAAGGTTTCTTTATTCATGTTTTATGTTTCTATTTATAGTTATAATTAGACATCCTTTATCAAGCCACATATTATATATATATATATATATATATATATATATATATATATATATATATATATATATATATATAGGCTTAGGTTATTCTATTCAAAGTAATTATTGTGTTATTGTATACATAAATGTGGACCAATCAAATTTACTTATTTTAAGAAAGTGATTAATATATATTATTGAATTAAATACAATTGAAAATAACATCTTAATTAATTACAAGGGTAATTTAGTCAATTAATATAGATTTAATAAAGGAAAATTGCATTTTTTAAGGGATCATAAATTCTATTAATTTTAAAAATCCGATTTTACGAATTATAATTCTTTTAATTCAGACATTCTGACATAATATGTTTATGAGTATATTCAAAAATAAAAATATTCTTGAACCATAAATAATAAAAATATTCTTGAACCTATTTCTTGATCATGAATTTAAAAACTTTTTGTAGAATAACAAATTCTTGAACAATCAATTGAAGAATAAAAACAAAAAATACATTATTTCTTATAGAATATGGGTAACAATTGTTAAGATTACATTTATTGTTAAAGAATAAAACTAAAAAACAATCAAAACGGGAAAGAAAACATTAAAATCTAACAACGACTAATACATTCTAAAAGAATAATGTGGTCCGTTTCAATTTTTGTGGTCTGTTCTTCAAGCATCAACTTTTGTGATTCCAACAGAATTGGAATTCGTCATTCTATTCCAACAGAATTGGAATTCGTGATTCCATTCCAATAGAATTGGAATCTCACCAATATCATCCATTGAATCATCTACATAAACATACTTGATACCTTTTCAGAATTCAGCATTGTCAAGAACCTGCACTGTCTACATAAATTAAGTGTTAAATCAGAAAAAAATAATTCGAATGAAAAACAAATTAATCATTTCCTGTCAAAAGAATCAGAAAAAAGACAAGCTATGGAGATGATCAAACCTTTGCAACAAGAACTTAAGCTCCTTGAATTGACTCCTAACTTTTACCATAATTTCCATTCGGCTTCTTGAATGCCTTTCAATTTGAGCTTCCACCCATATCAAAGGCTTCACCTGAGTGCTAAGTCGATATGTCATCAGGTCAAATGCTCCATCAGGAGGCACAAATGATATTGTTCTGGTGGAACTTAATGTCATCCAAGTCAATGAAAATGAAAAACTATCTATATATATAATATATGTGATATAAGATTTAAAAGAAAATGAAAAATTACTGGTGGAACTTAATGTCATCCAAGTCAATGGTTTTTCCCTTTGTAGTTCGTCCTTGTGCCTCCAATATTACTCTATCATTCAGTCCAAGCTTACACTCAGGCATACCAATGTAACAAGAATGAAATAAAGAACCCTAATTTGAAACTCACCTGGAAAATTAAACAAAAAAACAACAAATGAAAAACTGAAATCAAGAACCCTAATTTGAACAAAGAAGATGGAGATGGTCGATGAAGTGATTAGTAGTGTTCACAAGGGATATATGGAACCTATAATTGGAGCAATACCAGAAAAAAAAAAACATCTCGATGATTCATATTTACGATGATTTTGTTGATATTCACTAAAATTGTCATAAAAATGAATCTGTTCTTGATTTATTTAAAAATGAATCATGAAGGTGTTTTTTCGAAAAAAAAAATATTGTGAATCATCTTACTCTTAAATCATCTAATGATTCATTTTGTTTGTTTCTAAAAAATATGTATACAAGAAATTTGTTACATTCCTACCAAAAAATTTCATCTTATTTTATCTTGGTTATATATATATATATATATATATATATATATATATATATATATATATATATATATATATTATATATATATAGCCATTTACCCCACTTCCCTCCACATTTCATCAAGTGGTCATGCTAGAGACATAAACAGTCATGGATAATTATGAGATGAGATCCTTCCGAATGGGGTAAGAGAAAGAATATATTATATATATTATATATATATATATATATATATATATATATATATATATCTATATATATAAAACTATTATGCTATTTTCGACGAAGTGTTGTAAACACAACACTATTTGTACGCATAATATACAAAACATCTGTTTCAAACTATATCAAAAGATATAAAGATGAGATAGTTCAAACAAAGCATTATCAATGACATATTAGGTGCGACATGTCATCTGTAAAGGTAACTGCGACAACTCTTGATGTAACATCCCGAGATTTGGCAGGTATTCTCGAACCCTCTTCTATCATTACCTTGTCATTTATAGTCATTGGGGTTGGAAGTGAAGAGCCAATATAAGTTTAAGGGCCAAGTTTGCAAACTTGGGCCAAGAGGGAGTACGCGCGTACATAAGAGTACGCTAAGCGTACTAAGGTCCGCCTTAGTACGCTGGGCGTACGAATGTCAGGGTGAAACCATAATATTTAGGGTTTGGGGCTTATATAAGCAACATTATGAGCACCAAAACCTCCCTTACCTCAGCCTCCACAGATTATACTCGTCTTCCCCAAACCCTAGCCTTTCCTTTGTGTGTTTCAGCTTATTGAGTGTGTTCTTGAGTGCTTTAAGAGGAAGTTATTGCATCAAAGAGTTGGAGAAATAGATCAAGCTTGTAGATTTGAAGTTAGCTTGTGCCCAAGAAGCTCATGAAGGTATAAAGTTCCAAACTCTATGCATATATGTATAGATCTCACCATTTTACTTTAATAGAAGCATTTCTTGTCCCAAAAAGCCATAAGGTGGTGCATGATGTGATTTGGACAAAAGGGCTATCCTTCTAGACTCTTGAAGGGACCTTGAGTGATAAAAATGAGGTCCCATTAGCTGTATGTGTCCCATGCATGGAAAAATAAGTTCTTAATGGATTAAGACCAAGCATTAAGAGCTTTATGGACGTCCAAAGTGATAAATTTCATGATTTTATGGATCCTAGGCATGTTAGGTCTTTAGATCTGAAGTTTGGGCTTAAGTGCTTAAGCCATTAAGCACTTAATAAGGTTTTGGCAAACCGTCGAGTACGCCCATCGTAAATCCAGTACGCCCACCGTAAATACAGTATGCACAGCGTACTGGGTCAACCACCCCGATGGTGGTCAACATTTGGATGAGTACGCCCCACGTACGTCCTCTGTGGGCCTTTGACAAATGGACTTCGGGTTTTGGGTTGTTTATGGACTAATTGGATTTGGGCTTTTGCTGGACTTTATGAATAAAATATTTTGGGCCAAGTAGTGATATTGGATCATGGGATTAGGCCCAATTAGGAAGTTGGGCCCAATTTAGAAAATTTGGCCAATAATGGGCTTTATATATATGGACCTCCAAGTTAAGGACTTGGTATTGGGCCTTGACCCAATAAAGAGAATGGATTTAATGAGTTGTGTGGACACTTAGTCAAGAAGGTTATTTTGGGTATTAACTTGACATTTATTATGTGATAGTTTGGGATTTCCGGTGAGACAGTGATTTTTTATGGGTGTTACAAGTTGGAATCAGAGCCTTGGTTTGAGTGAATTGGAGGAACACTTGTGTGAATCCAGTCTCAAACCAAGGAAAAGACTTTCAAAATGATTTTCAAAAAGGTTTTCAAAATATCAAAGGAGGATGCAAGGTGTACGTTCAGCCGAAGCCAGTAAGTAGATCCGAAAATACCATACAGTTATTTGATATTGTGATATGTTAGGACAACATGCTAGTACTAGGCTAGGGAACTTCAAGAATTGCATGATAGAATTGATAGGTTTTATACAAACAATCCTATGTGTGCATGCAACCCTAATTGGATCTATGTTTTCACTATTAGACATACAACTTTATGAACACAAAAAGAAACCTGGAATGCTCCTCTAATTTTCGAAATCTACATAGGAGAATAGAATACATACCTTTTGTTGTTATATAGCAATAACAACTAGTTCCTTGAATTTCCTTAGCTCTTGAAAGCAAGTACCACAAGTGTAGTACCTCTAATGGCTCACAAACACACTAGGTGAAAGGATGAATATGGGAGAGAGGAGAGAAGGGTATCTTGCCCTAAAATTCGTCCCTTTTAGGGTTTCCCCAGGGTTCAACGAATTCTAGTGCCTTAGGGTGCTATTTATACTGGAGGCTAGCTAGGGTTTCAAGGTGGAAACCCTAATCCCTTAGCTTAGGGCCTAAGCAAGTCCATGGATTCCTTTCCTTAAGCCCTTGGACGAAAACTCCTAGATCCTTCTAGGATTTTCGTTCAATCCTTAATAAAGGTGATCCAATAGCCTAAAGTCTCAACTATCAAATAATTACAAAACAACCCCTGTACTTTTAATTAATTCCTTTAATCCCGAAATTAATTCCTAATTAATTTCTGATTAAATACTAATTAATAATATGATTCCAAATTATTATATTAATCATATAATATAATAAATAAATCATATTTATGCCCTAATTCAACCTCTCTCCTCAACTGTCATCCTGTCTAGTCACCCGTGTGAAGGCAACCCAAAAGGACCATGCTCACAATCGGGTCAAGTACATACCAAAATAGTTATGGACTTAGACACTAATCCAACAATCTCCCACTTGGATAAGTCTAATAACTATTATGCGTATGACTTCAGAACCTGATCAGCAATCATAGCTTTCAAAAGCCGCTGTCAACTCTGATCAGTAACTTGTCCTTTAGATAAGGGATCGTATATTCCTCCATTCTCAAGATATCGTATAGACGCGAGACATGGATTTAAATCATTCTCTCTGTCTATGTATTGTTTCCCGACATCTGATTTATGACGACTGACAACAGACTACAATTGAACACATCAACTTAGTCCCGGCTTGGCCAAGCGCTTAGAGTGTCATCACTAAATCATCGAGGGGCCCACAGATATCGCTTTTATCCCACTTTGGGTAAAAGGAATGGATAAACTTTGACTCAAATGCTTGCTTGCACCTACTAATCGAATCACACACAACAATAAGTTTTATAACACCAAGTTACTGGTGCGTTTACTTATCATTAATGTGCAACCGACCAGCAAATAACAACTCACACGTCTCGGTTTCAAGAATATACAATGTTATCGTCTCACTAATCACCCATGATAAATCCATGAAGTGACTCAAGTGAGCGTGGGTTTAATCCAATACTTTAATCTTACCAAAGCACTCATGAACTCTGCAGCAAACTTGTGCTATGTCTAAACACTTTAGACAATCTGCAGACAGATTCATGACAGTCTTCCTTCATACCTACTTCCAACGTATGACCGACTGTGGAGGTTCGAATAACCCAGTTATTCTGGAAGTCAAAACATGCAAAGTGAAACGCAATAATAATATTAATCCTATATAGCCCCAAAACTTTTGAGCGTAAATAAAAACACTTTTATTTAAACACCATATTGATTACTCATTATTCATTACTTACTGTTTCAGAAAATCAACTTATTACTCGAATTATAACCACAATTGTCCCATGCTCCAAGCATGCACACTTTGGTTTCCTATGGTCCATACTTTGTGAAATAGATCAATTGAAAAACTTTTCCAATGAAACTCATTTCACAATCCCCAATCCTTATTATTAGTATAAGAATACCAAATTCTTGCCACTTTTAGAATATGTCAGATTCTAACATTTTATGCAATGATTCTTTCGTAATGTCATAGCACAAAAGTCACCAAGACCCGGCTAATGAAATTACAAGGTATTCTATCGGAAATTGTTACAAGACAATTCCATAGACGTGAAGTCTCACATTCAAAGTACATTCCTTTGAACATCCTTCTCGCATAAAGTTTCTAATCTAGACATATTTCTTAATATCCAACTCCCATTAATGGAAACATTTCCATATTTTCCATATGACAACTCATTCTTAATAGAATCTTATCTATTCATAATAATGTCAATATAGTCCATCCAGTACTATACTTCCAACTACTCACAAGCGACAAATCCTCAGTGAACCTCAGATCGTCCTTTGATAGTTGTTTAATTATTTTAGTCAAAGCCGATTCTAGTCCCTTTTTCCCTCTTAATGCCCTAGGCATTTGGAAAATTTTAGAATGGTCAAATATTACAGCATATGCAATCGATCCTATACCCGAAGCGTATTGGACACGATGCATAATGTCTCACATAAAGACATGATACTTTATCAGTCTTTTGCCATA